TGCATCAAAATAACAGCGAGAACTTAGTTGCGCACCTAATACTATATATATATATATAATGATATTCATTTATGATAATATATTATCGTAACCTAAAATGGCATTGGATGTAAGAAAAAAGTGCTATTACGGTTTCGTATCGATATATCTATTAATTAAAAATCTGTATTTTATGTATATTACAGACTTTTAGTACTGGTGATATATATTAGAACACGGCCTACATTGCATGTGTATATAATACAACTAAATATGTATATAATGCAACTAAATTTCTAAGGTCCGATTCTACAAATATAAGATTAACTTCAATTATGTTTATTTTTTTTTCAATTCTAAAATTGGAAAATTTTCCAAAATAAATCTTACATTGTGGGACCGACCCTAATACACGTCCCTGTTGAGATGGTAATGTAGGAAACGGAATAAAAATATCGATAATTAATCGATCGAATTTCCTGCATGATCATATTAACTTCAGAGGGCGTAAGCAGCTTATACATTGGAAATGAAAACCTGTAATATCGACCTTGATCAACTTCGGCCTTCGCTCCAGCATGCCCTTAAGTTGTGAAACGGCCAGAAGTATGGACTTAGAGAAGAGAATCCAAGCTGTAAAAGACAAGCAGGGCTGTTTTAATTGTCTGAAAGTAGGGCACAGCTACAAAAGATGCTGTAACAAAATAAAATGTCCTTGGTGCAGAAAAAGACATTGCCTGCTGATGTGTAGGAATCTGTCGAGCAAGAACGAGACAAAGCAAGCGGATGAGAAGAAATCGAAAAAAATCAGCTTTTCATGAGGGAAACAGTTGTCTCGTTAATGTCTCTTCGAATACAAAAATGTTCCTTCCTACATTAAAAGTCAAGATGCGAGGTCCAAAAGACTTGATGAATGTTCGCGCTATCATAGATACTAGCTCGCATAGATCTTATGTTTTGGAAAAGGTAGCTAGAGAGCTTGGATACGAGATTGAAAGCGAACAAACGATGATACACTTGTTGTTTAGAGGAACTAAAACCAAACCTCAGAGACACAAAACTTGTCGGATCTACATCGGAAACTTAGATGGAACATATAAATGCGACTTCGTAGCTTTGCAACAAAACATTATCTGCCAGGACGCCCCTTGTAAGCTCGATGATACATGGATGGATATACTTGAGAAAAAGGACATACGTTTGAGCGACACCGGTGAACGTAGAGAATCCATTTCATTATTGATTGGAGTTGATGTTGCTGGCAAGATATTCACAGGAAAAGTCCTACAGATAAATCAAGGAATAACAATTCTAGAAACTAAGCTTGGATGAACAATCTTAGGTAGGAATATAGGCGATGACAGCGGCATCGATATTACGCTGACCATTATGTTAATGTTCACTCAAGAAACCAACATATCAGACTTATGGAAACTCGACGTCTTGGACATCACGGATCCTATTGAGAGTGTTACTAAAGAGGCACATCAAGCTGAAATAAAGACCTCATTTCAAGAGACAATGAAAATCGACAACGAAGGTCGATACGAAGTTCTTCTACCGTGGAAAGAGAATCATCCACCTTTACGAGATAATCGAGACGTAGCCGAGGAAAAACTAAAAGGCGTTATAAAGAGATTGTGACGAGAAGATTTATTTGACGACTACCAGGCTGTCTTTGATAATTATTCGAAGAAGCCAGATTATTGAAAAGATACCTGTACTTGAAGTCGACCAAGAGAGCTACTATCTTCCACACAGGCCTGTAGTCAAGAAAGAAGGAACTACTAAGATATACCCTGTTTTCGATGCGTCAGCAAAACTCAAGGAATCGCTTGACCAATACTTGGAGAATGAACCCAATTTTATAGAGCTTATTCCAGCATTGCTACATCGATTTCGAGAAAGGAAGATAGGGATAACAGCTGATATTGCAAAAGCCTTCTTACAAATCGGCGTCTCTCCGTCAGATAGAGATGTTTTAAGATTCCTGTGGAACGTTGACGGAGAAATAGAGATTTATCGATATCGTCGAGTTGTTTTCGGATTGCAAGCAGCCCATTCCTTTCAGGGGCGGCGATTGAATTGCATATTAATAGAGCCTTAAACTCTACCATTTTGCCATATAAGAAAGCAGTTTATGAGAAACTGGCAAAATCCTTTTATGTCGATGACTGTGTTACTAGTGTCAATTCTTATTCTGATTTTGAAGTTTTCAGGAGAGAAGCTTGTTCCCTTTTGACTCAAGCCAAATTTGACTTAAGAGATTGGAAATACACTAGCAAGGATCCTGAGAGTCAATCAACGGTGCTTGAACTTATATGGGACACCAAAAGGGATACTTTAATGTTACCGGAATTTCCTGCACCGACAATCACGGAGAAAATAACGAAGAGAGTCATCTTGTCACAAGTACAGAAATTAGGACCTTCTCGGATTCATCTGTCCCATACTGTTAAAACCAAAATTACTATTGCAAGATCTGTGGAATAAAAACGTGGATTGGGATACAGAAATAGACGACAACATTAAGCACGAATTTCTTAAATGGGTTCAGCAATTAGGTCTCCTACGTATATTGAAGTTTTCATGATGGATTTTTGGAGAGGAAAGAGGTCCCGACTCCTTTCATGTTTTTGTCGACGCCAGTAAAGACGCATACGCGGCGACAATCTTCGTACGAGTTGAGTCAAGCATAGGAGTCGAGGTACATCTAGAAGCTAAATCTAGAGTAGCACTCAAAGAGAAGAAGACCATACCTCGCCTTGAATTATTAGCAGCCTCCATTGGAGCTAGGATGATGCGATCCTTTATAAAGGCTATGGATTACCAAGATATCAAGACCTGCACATATTTCTGGACTCGATGACCATTCTATTAGGGATACAAATAAGTTCGTGCGGTTTTGAAAGAAATGGCATAACTACTGTTTCATTCCACTGTTTCATATTTCTAAGTATGCGTTGGATAGCTGTCATTAGTAGGTATTAAGTTCAGTATGTGTCATTTGTTCGATTTGTAAACAACAATATTTTTACTTCGTCAAATATGTCGAACTTTGTACCAAATAAAGTGTTTTTGCGGGGAGTTTTACTGCATTACTTCAATATGAAGAAAAGTGCTGCCGAAAGTCATCGTATTTTAGTGGAAGTTTATGGTGACCATGCTCTATCTGAGCGAACGTGTCAAAAGTGGTTTGCACGGTTTAAGAGTGGTGACTTTGACTTGGAAGACCAAGAGCGTGCCGGATGTCCAAGAAACTTTGAAGACGCAGAATTAGAGGCATTACTCGATGAAGATCCATGTCAAACGCAAGAAGAGTTTGCATTATCATTAGAAGTGACTTTGATTACATTGTAACCGGTTTTTCACAATAAAGCCCCAAATTTCGAGAAAAAACCGCACGAACTTATTTGTACCCCTAATAACATGGATTCGACAAACAAGACAATGGGCAGTCTTTGTATGGAATCGTGTTCTGGAAAGGAGCCTGACGGATATTAAATCTTGGAGATATGTTCCTGGAGTGATGAACCCAGCGGATTTACTCTCACGAGGTTGTGATGCTAAGAAATTCCTTGAACTGAAATGGTGGGAGAGACCGGAGTGGTTGAAATCTCCCAAAGAGTGACCCAAAGAGGAAGGAAAAGTTGACGAGCACATAGTTAATTTAGAGTTACGCAAGACTTCTGAACGATGCAAAGAGAGAATATTCCCTGAGACTATTGTTGAACAAATCGCTATGCTAACCTTCGTAGAACAAGCGGGTGAAGAGACAGTCCCCTGGTATTTACTTGGTAAAGACTTTACCTGATAAAGATTTTCGATGTATTCCAAAATTCTGTGTACCATCGCGTGGATATTAAGATTTGTGAATAATTATCGAAGAATTCAAGTAAACAAAACTCAAGAGTTAACTGCCAAAGAAATTACTAAGGCAGAATTACTTCTCTGTAGACTAGCATAGAAAGAATCATTCCTGGCAAGCAACGATTCACGATTACGAAGCTTAAATGTTTTCGAGGAGAATGAACTAATACGCACAAAGACAATGATCTCCAATCGTCAAGACGTTTTTTTCTTTCAGATGTCCCGTGGTGTTGGACTCAGCTCATTTATTGACGTTGAAAATTATCTTTCACATTCATCTGAAACTTAATCATGCTGGTATTGACATTGTGATGAATAGTTTATGCGAAAAGTTTTGGGTCTTGCAATGCCGTCATACGTTACGCTCAATCATAAAAAAATTCGCCGTTTGTCGTCGGTATGTATCGAAAACAATGAAAGCACCACCTGGATTATTACCTAATCAACAGAGAAATTTCTGGAGGCCTTCAGAAGATTTGCACGTCGAGGAAGACCTATTGTAGTATATAGCGACAATGGGAAAAAATTTTGTAGGGGCCAGGAATATACTACAGAAGATTAATTGAAATTTCCCAATATTGTGCACTCAATAAGATAATATGGCACTTTAATCCACCTTCAGCTGCCTGGTGGGGAGCTGCCTGGTAGGAGCGACTTATCCGCCTCCTTAAAGATCTATTGAAGAGAACATTAAAGAGAACTTCGTTGAGCTATGAAGAAATGAACACTGTTCTATGCGATTGCGAAGCTACTATGAATTCAAGACCACTTACCTACTTGACAGAGGAAAATACTGAAATCACAGTGCTGACTCCAGCGATGTTTATCAGTGACATTCGAAAAAATGGCGTTCCAGACTTGGATCAAGTTTACAAGTCCCACTTTGCAAAGAGGATACGCTATCGTCAAAGATTGAAAGAAGAGTTCAGAAAACGTTTCCGTATATAGTACTTGGGTCAGTTATCTAGACGAACTAAACCCAGCAATAGTTCCGCGTCCGTGGCTGTCGGGGATATCGTGCTTATTGAAAACAATTTACAAAAGCAATTAGACTGGCCGCTCGCCGTCATTAGAGAAGTCTACCTCGGAAAAGATGGTTATGTGCAGGTGGTAAAACTGAAAACGAGTAAAGATGAACTAGTTCGACCCATCCAAAGACTAATTCCCTTGGAAGTTGAACACTCCAGTCCTGAAGCTGATAACTTTATCGGGTCTATCACTACGACGTCAGAGACTACTAAAGGAAATGCAGCTGACTCCTCGAGGAGTCCGTAGCTGTCCCTAGAGAGGAACCGAAATCGTTGGAAGAAACGAACTTAAAGACCCGAAGAGGTCGTATCATCAAGAAACCGGATCGGTTCAAATATTAGAAAATGTTTGTCATTTTATTTTCGTTTTCATTTTTTTTAGATAGGTTAAGTTGCTCTTACTAAGAATTCAAGGTGGGAGAGATGTTGGAAGCACGCTCTCAGTACCGTTGACATAGAGGGCGAGACGCGTATTATCGACCGAGCAGCGAGTTAGAGGAAGGTGCCCGAATGGCCGCGTGTGAACGACAGAAGAAGATGAGATCGGATCGCAAGCTGAGCGAGTGTTGTCCGTTTCCGCCAATAGAACTTTTTACTTTTTACTGCCGTTTTTACTACGAATAATCCGAGCCGTATGCTGTTAATGTTTTTGTAATAAAGTAGTGTGTTCGTGTAAAGGACGAAGAAGTGTCTAATATTATTGAGAATTACGATCCCGAAACCGCGGCTGCAACAGAAATATTGTATTTGAATTTATCGCTTACACTATACGTACAATGACATAAATCAGAATACACGTTGTGACGTAACGTTGTCCGTCCGTCACAAGGAAGCACAACTCTGGCGTCCTGAATCCTTCTCTTTTTAGAAGGCGGACGTATCTGCGCATTCTTGTAGCGGCATTTCATCGATTTCGTGTTTGTTTCGTTTTATTTGTGTATCCCGCAAATTTTCAGTGATTGTCGTTCTTTCATGCGTTATCATATCGCGAGTTTTGTAGGATAATTGGTTACCTCCTTACGACTTTATGAATTTTGCGTCGTCTCACCGAACCATAGATAAAGAGAGAAGATGGCCCGGATCGAAAGTCGGAAGAGGAGTGATGGAGGATGGATTGGTCGGGGCGTCCAGCATCCTGCAAAACGGATAGCATGCAGGTATCGCTCCGCATTTTAATATTTTTGCTTTGATCCGAAACATGTTTTATCGCCACATATTACAGGTGCATGGCGACGGGACTGCGAGAACAGCAGCAAGGGATGGCCACTCTACGCCCAAGTGTCGGCGAGAGACCCCATGACGGAGCTTGCGGAGCCTTCTGCTGAAAGGTCAGCACCCAGAGTCAGAAGCAGACTACGAGCCGATACCGAGGTGCGAATCTCCTGCAAAACCAGGATTCGGGAGAGTCCGAGACGGCCGAAGGAAACTCTGCGACCCAATCGAATTCCGCACGCTAGGACGCAGGATGAGTGAATTACCCTGCAGGGTTCGCGCGATTCGCGAAGCCTGCAGGGCCCTACATCAATTAAATGCGATAAGGTCCCCTTGTGGTGATAGCGATCACTGCGTGTTCCCGGAAGGATTAGCGCCCGGCACTTGTGCTGTGGCGAGCGAGCGAGTAGCACGGAGGAAAGACGCAGGACCAAGAGAAGCCGGATAGCGAGCCTAAGGCCTGATTGGAGGACTACCGAGATGAGATGAACGTCATACAATTGTAAGATCGCCAATTTCCGTGTCCGGGAGGAGCGCGTCGTGTTGTTGTCGGATTTTGTGCGCGAGAAGCACGTGAAATTGTCGTTTGGTTTTTCGCGATATTTGTGTCCGAGCGCCCAACTATCGGTTTCGAGCCCTTGCGTGGCCCTCAGGAGTGGCCGCGTAAGGACACGTTTTCTGTCGCGTTTTCTTTAAGATCAGACAAATATCATTATAAAGACAAGAATTTCTACCGAATCGAGAGAAAAAGCTGCGAACATGCGATAAAGTTGCGCCACATTCATGAGTACGATTGCAACGTGTTCAACGCATTGTTCAAGCTCAAGCATAAAAAGTATAGTCGAATGGTTTGGATATGGTTTCATATACAAACACTTATCACATAATGATAATTTTACATTGTACACATGTATTTGACAAGTTCAATCTTGAAACAAAATCTTGAATCACTAATGACGATGGAGTATTCGATTGCACCAATCGTTCGATATTCATCCGTTTATCGACGAATATCGTCCACATAGCATATGACAAAATGATGCGGTTACTTCGAGTGTCGCCGATCGCGATTTCCACGTGGGACATAGGTCGCACGGCTATTCCAATATCCCGACATTTGTAAGCTGTAGATGTTAATGCATATCGTCTTTTTAAGATATAAGACATATAGCGAGGAAATGTGCTGTAATAAAGAAGATGAATATAGAGCTGAAGATGAATAAGAAAGATATAGAGAGAAAATATAAAAAATTAAAAGAGTATAAAGTTGTAATACAGGGTCCGACAAAATGATCTCCCACATTTTAATCTTTAATAAAAACGCCATTGTAAATGCTATTTAGATTTTATTTTTATTAACTGAAAATTTATGCTATGCCATTTGTTTTTATTGAGTTTTGAAAATTACAGAGTCCAAGTGGCGACCATTTTTTTCGATACACATTCGAAGTTGATTTCTAAAAGTTTCCATCACTCGAGCAATAATTTGAGGCGATATTCCTGTAATTTCTTGGCGTATTGCTGCTTTCAATTCGTCAATTCGCATGGGGCAAGATCGGGTGAACGCGCAGGCCATCCAACATCTCCACGTAACGAGATTACGCGTCCTGGAAACATTTCCCTTAAAACCATCCATTGTCCTTCTTGCCGTATGAGCCGTAGCTCCATCCTGTTGAAACCACACATCCAAATATTCAAGTTCTTTAAGTTTTGGTCACCCGATCTTGCCCCATGCGACTTTTTCCTTTGGGGCTACCTGAAAGCGAAAGTTTTTCAACACCACCCCCGAACCATTGACGAATTGAAAGCAGCAATACGCCAAGAAATTACAGGAATATCGCCTCAAATTATTGCTCGAGTGATGGAAACTCTTAGAAATCAGCTTCGAATGTGTATCGAAAAAAATGGTCGCCACTTGGACTCTGTAATTTTCAAAACTCAATAAAAACAAATGGCATAGCATAAATTTTCAGTTAATAAAAATAAAATCTAAATAGCATTTACAATGGCGTTTTTATTAAACATTAAAATGTGGGAGATCATTTTGCCAGACCCTGTACTTACTTGCATGATTCTTTTTGCTAAATCGGAACATAATAGTTTAAATACTTTCTTGCATAATAGTTTTAATACTTTCTTGCATTTTTGAGGAAAGCGGTAATGACTGTAATGAGAATCTGCTTTACGTTGTATGAGTGCTTCATCAGTGTCCACTGAGCGACTGATATAATAATATGGTCATATCTCTTTTTTTAAATATTGAATCTCTCAAATAATATTCGAAAGTTTCACATTCCATAGAGTGTTTAAAGCGAGCAGACCGACTGAATCAGTAATATCATCATATGTATATCTTTAATAAGCTCCCCATTTGACATTTTCCAGCGAAATATCCAATTTATTATCGGAAATTATTATTTTAGCATCAATAGTTATTTCCAATTCGTATTTGTGAGCAGAGAATACCTCAATATAAACATCATTAATATCAACAAAAAAAAGATCATATTTTATAACACAG